TGTGGTGGTCTGATGGCTCTTTGAGGCGCGCGCGGAACGCGACGCGCCGTACGCTCGGGTCTGTTTCTGGTCGGACGGGGAGCCACCCATGCTCGCCGTCCGCAGGCCCGCGCTTACGGTGGCCGGAGATCGTCCCGCGATCCCCGACGCCCGGTGTGTCCTTCGCGATGGCTGGGTTGCGAGGAGGCAGCGCTTCGCTGCCTCACGCGTCCCGCCTCCTCCTTAGCTAGCATGACTGCTTCGCAAAAGGAGGAGACGGCATCCCAATCCCCCTCGCTACAGGGTTAGTGTAGGTCCCTATTATGGTAGAATGCCTTCTCACTGGTGGGCGCGGCAGTCTACTACATGATACTTGCATACATAATACACTTTAATACAAAAATCCCATCAGCCTACTTTACTTTTACAATCTCATATGTTTATTACAACAACCGCCCATGCTTAGCCGCATTAATCTGCACACGTCCTTCCACCGCGGAAACAGAAATTATAATAAGCAATTATCAGCAAACCTTCAATACAAGGTGCACTTGCAAGCGTACGTATTTTTTTCCAAGTACCCACATAAATCAAAGGGCCCGCCCCCCTCTAATGGGAATTATAATTGATTCCCTCCCAAGCTAGGTAGTTTTTGTGATCGTAATGCAGGATTTAAATTTGTTTGTCGGTGTATCTTTGAACAAATATTGTAGTACAATCTATGTGAGCTAATTAAATCGCTTTGTTGTTTGATTAATTGGATGTGAATGTAATTTCGTAGGAGTTTAATGGAATTGTGTGTAGGAATTGAACTAAATTTTAGTTAATGATTGGACCTAAGAACTAACTTCTAAGTAAGGAAGTAGATAATCAGGAACTTGCTTCACCACTGCAATTACTTGGTTTTCTCTTCACGACTCATTTTAAAAATGATAATCCTCTATACGTCAAGTATTGGAATGAGAATAAAACATATGTTGCAAGAAAGACAAAACTATGTCCTTAAGTATGAATTAGAGTTAATCGAGTCTTTAGGCCGAAACTTCTGCAAAAGTGCTGAAACTTTTCCTGTGCTCGCTCATTTTCAATAGTGAAAATGTAAACCCATAACGTCCGAAACTGATGATCGCTCAGAGAAAAATCTAAATTAAGAGATCACACAAAATGTCTTTAGACTAAACTGAAGTCATAATGTAAAAAAAAATCCAGTTTTAAAGGCGCTAAATAATCTCAAAATGTTTAAAATCATTTAAGAAAATTACTCCAACGCCTGTTATCAACTGATAGCTAAATGACAGTTAAGCATTTAGGTACATTTTGGATTCTAAAACAAACATAGACAAAGATCAAAACTGTTTAGTTTTTGCATCTCACCGGTGTCAGCCGGTCAGTCACCCTGTCCTCGATCTAAGGACTCTATATAAGTTGTCCCTAATGTACCCAAATTAAATGGCCTATTGTCACTGGACATTGACAATACAATATTCTAGTTGCTTACTTACGTTGTCTTCACTTGCTAGGGACAGAATTTTTCTCTGATATAACTTTGAAAAAAAAGAACAATAATATTCGCGCGCGATCCCATATTTTTACCACCAAATAAGAGGTCTGTCATTAGTACAATTAGTTCCAAATTCAAAAGGTGTTGAAAAACCGTATCGTTTGTATTGCACGTGTAAGGTGGCTGCGGGGTGCAGCGGGTGTCGGGGCGCGGGGGGCGGGGGCGCACCTCGATCGATGGCGACGTCGTTATTCGGGCGACAGCCTTTGACGACGTCGCGGATGTGTTCCGCTTGCGACCGCCTTTAATTTCTTCATTTGTATGCTGATTTGTGATTGAGGGAATTAGGTTGTTGGGGTATTTGAGGTAGAGACCTGCCACGGATTATGATGGGCTGCCATTATTTTCGCGTGTACCTTCGCTACGTTCTTCAGGAGTGCCATCAAAATTTGAATGAAATGCAGATAGGAATACCAATAACAAACGTTAGTGGGTAACCCGGAGTTTCTTCGATGGAGCGAAAGCTTCAGATTTCAGATTGTTTTTCTTTTCCCAAATATTCGAGAAAATCTAAGTTTCTACCATAAATACAAACAAATAAATGAAATGAATTTCCAAAACGTCTAAATGCTTTTCTCACGATCTGTAACCTCATTGACTATTCCCGAAAGAACTGTTAAATATTTTGACCAGCCTCGCTCCCTGAAAGAGTCCCAAGTAGAACCCACCCGGGCTAGGTCCACGCCTCCGCGGACGCGTGACTGACGGACGTCCGCACACTATCACACTTTACACACACACCTACAGCGGACGCTCTATGCACACGACGTTTTGACACTTGACAGATGTGTGCCCAGAGTGATGGGTGGCGCGCGCCGCGAAAAATACGAGGGAAACTTTAAATATGGAATGCCGAGAGAGTTTTATTTATGCTTCTATTTGTGATTGGCAGTGCCAATTGATTCTTGGGTCTAGAAAATGTTATTGATTGGAATAACTTTTTGATATCAATCTTTTTTGTCAGAGTTGGTTTTGTTTTTACATTGCTTCAGTGCCGCTTTTCATTTTTTTTGTTGGTCAATAATTGAAACAAAGGCCCTCAAATGAAATAGTAAATGACATGTAGATTAACTAAAGTTCCACTTGTCTATTGTTGCACCAAAACTTCCACCTCCTAGTTAGTCATATCTCCCAAATAGTAGCAGTTGACTAGCGGACCGTTTGCACTCACTGGCGCACAATGTCGTCCACATGCGGCGAGCCAGTTATCTGTCACTAGTTAAGTGCTGGTCCACTGTCCTGTCGCACTGTGGTCATCTTTTGTAACTGACTCAACTCTGTCTGTCTGTCACGTTTTGGTTACAAATATTTGTTAGTGCGACAGTTTAGGAGTAGCTCTCAGTATTTTTATGGTCGTTTGATTATATTAAGTGTTTTATCTAGTTTTTTATTTGGGGACTGTTTTAATGTCAATCCATGTTTTTATTATTATTTTACAGTTATACCCATAAGTGGCCGTAACTGATTTAGGCAATTTACCTTAATCAAAAGATTGGGATGTAGTAATGCATCGACACCGAATATATTCTATGTTCCGTTTTCTCCCCAAGTATTTCTATCTCCGCTCTTAACATAGAGAACATTCCACGTCACCGGACTCTGAATAAGAACATTAAGCTATTTCCATTTTCCACAGCGTTTCCAATCACACTTTGGTCCGACTATTTTAAAACCCAACAAATCAATAAACAAATCCGTTCAGCAGCGACCAGTGACTCCAATAATTAAAAAGTTCCCCGAACAGCGGTGTAATGACTGCTGTGACGTTAACGACATGGCTGACAGCGAAGCCATTTGTCAGCCGTCACGTGTCAGCTGTTTGTCAACCACAATGGTGTCAGGCGGCGCGGGGCCGATTGACGCGTGTCACTCATACCCTGAACCACCAATTGTCGAATGCAACTCGACTCTGGAAAAACATCTCACTGGCTCTGACAGTTCAGCATACATGCCAGCATACTCGTACGGTTCACTGGTAAAAATTAATATGTCAGATGAAATGGCAGGATTTGACCGATGTGTTGTGAAAATATGATGAAATAAATAATTATGAACTCTTTCCCACTTACTGCTTACTTCTTATGAAAGATAAAGATATGATACAGAGTTGAACTACTGCTATTTTCTGAAGACGCTTTAGTTTTGCTTGGAAAACAATAATCCATGCAGAATTAGGGTCTTACCTTGACCGTGGCTACGTGGGGCATGATCTCGTGACTCATTTTCTACAACTAAACATTTTGACATAACATAGAAAAGACAATAAGAATAACGGCTTCATAATGTAAAATACACATACGCTGTTTGAACAAGCTGCAATGTAAGAGGAAGTTGATAAGACCACTGATTGATAAACCACTAGATATTAAGTGTACTTAATCTTCACGTAGGAAAAGAGATATTTCTAGAGCGTCTCTGAGAAACATTAGTAGGTGAATAGCCAAAAATGTAAATGAACTGTGAACATCTATGGCCTCCATGGCAAAGCAATAAAATCGAGTTATTTTGAGAAACAGTGGTAAATCATTGTCGTATGTGATAGGACAGGTGCGGTGGAATTATTAATGATAGCTTGATTCACACCTCGAGTGTCCCCGACGCGACGCCCCGTCGACATCGACTGAAAAATACTTTTCATTACCGTATGTTCAGCCTTGTTACACCTTTATAAGGTTCACAAAGTTATTAAGTACAGGTGATTTATAAAACTTTCAATAATTCTTTTAGAAATAAGTTTTCAATTGAATCCCATGCTTTGTTTATTTATTTTATCTGAATTGTTCACTCTGTTACCTGAAATTTATTTGAGGCGCATTCTTACTTATTAGGTCCTTATCGATAAAGCAGGATTTTATTTGATTTATATATTTTAACCACAATTCTATTTCTGCTTATGATGCTCCATCAGACAAAGTAAAACAATTGACACACATTTTTTGCACCATTCCAATAGCAACTTCGATCATGCGCAATCATTTAATTTATTGGCTCGAGCAAAAACAATGGAAATATTTCCATAACTCAATCGGCTGGTGGTATGCGGCGTAAACTTAGCTACTTATTACTGCCTTCGTTGCATACATTATAGATCTGAACAAGTATTTACGGTTAATTCGCATCGGAAGTATATTTATTGGTTGCCAGTGACGCCTGACGTCATTACTAATGTCTCTGCACCACGCGATTAGCTCCGACGTCGCCACAACACTTTAAACTAGGTTGCGAATCTTCCAATTATTTGTATACTGCTATATTTCGTATGGTTCCCTTTTGTTTTATGTTTGCTAATAAATGTCTTTGATTATAGGTTTAGTTTGGTCTTTATTTGCAATGCTAAATTGAATCATTGTTCACATTAAAAAATATTTTTGTATTCGTATTTATAGTAACGGACACAGCAAAAATTACAAACCCACTATGTAATGACTTTCAATACATTTCACATTTCCCATTTTTCCAGATGTTGTCGCCACGAGAGGACGATGACGACGACAGCCACCTGTGCATCAAGTGCAACACCACCATTGTTGGCCTGGACAACTACGTGAAACACAGGAAGCAACGATGTGGGAAACTGAAACCTGAAGATCCCAAACCAGAACTACCTGCTATAGACACGTTGGAGCCTTCCTACAGTCTTGGAGCAGATGTGTTCTTCCAATCTCTTGAACTACAGAGCTCTGTAAAAAAAACTTCCTTGTCAAGACTAACACCACCTATTCCTATATCCAAAGCCAGTATAGACAGAAAAGCTTCTTTAGCTGTCCCATCCACTTCTAGAGATCTCCCTCGCATGAGTCCCTTAGAAAATAATCTCAGAGGTGAAGATTGGATTGGAGGACATAGTTTAAGAATCGGAAGTAACGAAGATAATCAAACAAAATTAATTAACGCAGTCGCTAGCATAAGCGGCGCAAGTCAAGTCAAGAAAGACATCATTATACCAACTTCGTCTTATAGTATTAATTACGATTATAAAGGCGATGAAGAAAGTGATGAGTCTGAAGAATCAGAAGATGATGAGGAGGAAGATCATCCTACTGGCGAATGGAAGCCACCTCCAAATTACACAGGAGGTAAGTGGCGACCAGCTTCTCCCGACCATGAAGACTGGGATATGAGAGAGGAGCAAGAACACACTGGCGGTAAATGGAAACCAATCATGCCGGACAATAATGAGCGCGATGAAGATTATGATGCTCCTCCACCTGGACACACAAAAGGCAAGTGGGTACCAGGAGCCAACGAAAAAACTCAAATCATGCAAACCACAATTCAAACTAAAGGCTCAGTACAATATTGGTGCGGTCCTTGCAACAGAAGACTCAACTCCAGAGCAATTTATGATAAACATCTCCGATCTAGTTTGCATTTGAAGAAAGTTCTTCCAGAACATGAATTGGAATTTTCTGGTCATTTAGAACCAATGAAACCTGTAATGGACAAGCGATTAACACGTCCATCCCGATTTGTGAACGACGATATTTATTCGCAAGTGGAGAAAAAACGACACAGTAAAACGGTAACTAAAATTAATATTAAAATTGAGAAGAAGAAAAGAAAGAGAAAACCTACTTTTGTGCACTGTTCTGGGTGCAAATCACGAGTCAGACAACATTTGATGGGAAAGCATTTGATATCTCATTACCACTTCAGAAAAGCAACTGATACCAACACGGCAACGTACCAACAACTCATCTTGGACAACATGGATGCAATAGTCCACCAGTCTCCTTTCCAATGCAGCCCATGCAAGTTCTATACAAACTGGCTTTCAACGTTCATGCAGCATTGGTTTTCTGAAGAACATGAACAAAAACTGGCTTCAATTGAAGGGAGACTCTGGTGCTCTTTTTGCAAATTCGAATGCGAATCGTCTCAAGAAATGCTGCAACACATGTCCAGTTCAGATCACAGCGAAGTAGTCGCGGTTATTAACAGGTCTATGCCAATCATAATAAGGAAGAAGACGCTTTTTAAATGCGATGCGTGTTCCAAAGATTTCAGATATAACATTGAAATGAAACGCCACTATCAAACTACTGGACACCCATTGGCTGTTACAGCCACTGACAACTATCAGGAGCTGCACAATTGTCAGCACTGTAAAGCTAAATTCAAATCTTCTTTAACTCTTGCTGCTCATTTAAAATCTAAACACAAACAGAGAGCTTACCTTTGCTTAGTTTGTGCAATGAGCTTTAAATCTTCTGATGAAGCAAAGCGCCATCGCCAAACTTCAGAGCACCGGATTAAGAGGAAGGAAAACTTGAGGGAACAAGGACTACCAACCAAAGATATGAGCAAGAAGTGTCCTTACTGTACTGATAATGTTATTCTGAGAAATATTTTAGTTTTGAAAGAGCATATTCGTCGTATGCACCCTAATATCAGAAAAAAGTAAGTATTTACTTTTTATTTTATTAAAATGTATTTTTAATATTGTTGTTTGCTTCATTTTTCACTATATTTTTTTTACAGATGCCCCAATTGTGGAATGTCTTTCATCCTGTCTCAAGAAGTAACACGGCATGTGAGAGACAACGCGTGTCAGTTATCACAGACTGCACAAATCACATCATCCATCTTTTGGAACTGCAGCCAGTGCCTCTTCACCACTGACTCCCAAGCTGAATGCTTTTTCCACGAAGTGCTACACACAACTCCTAAGGAAGAAGTTCTCAAAGTTGGGGATACAGAGAAAGTACTCTTAAAATACCCGTGCCCACTTTGTCCAAAAACTTTCAGAAAGGCGTCGTTACGCCAACATTTGAGGCAGCACACCTTTGAGAGGCCCTTCATCTGCTCGACTTGTGGAGCCAATTTTACCAGGCAGACCAGTCTGGCGAATCATTCCAAGAATGAACACAGCACTGAAGTAGCCAAGATTCCAAAGCTGCCAGCAATTGTGGAAAGGATTGAAGATTGGGAGTGTGGGAAATGTAAGAACAGGTTTTCCAGCAAGTGAGTATTATTCATTGTTTGTAGTAGTGTAGTAACTAACTCGATGATGTGAATAGGAGTTCAATGAAAGTTTAGATCAATAAGCGATCGAATTTATCGAGACGGAAGCGCAAACAAAACGCATGCAACTGAAATAACCAACGCATCATCAGCACGTTGTCGCGTCGGCGTCAATTTGCGGTAATAACATGCGTGCACGCAGCGGATGCGTTACATGTCACACGTCACACAACTCCTTCACAAATATCGGGATACATTCATAATTTGACAAGAGCGCTTTGATTATGCTCGTGCGCACCGCATTCCCGCCCGCGGTGTTGCCAACGATGACATTTTTATACCCTGCGGTAATAAATTTCTGCCCGGATGCACGGTATTTTGAGAGAGTGCTGGATCAAAATATTAGTGTCGGAGAGAGATAGTGGACGTTTGAATTTTATTGTTAGCACGTGTCTCTGTAACGTATTGGGGATTTGCATTTTGATCTGTCGTTCAGTTTGATGGCGCTAAATCGCGTGTGGTTTATTTGCTTTGACACTTGCGCTGCGAGCGTTACGATTTATATGTCTAACGTCACTCTATAAATAGTTGGGATCAGTCACACGAAGGATTGACGACGCCGATTTTAAACTGAATGCGGTTCGTTAAAATTAACGACTGTTTGTTCACTACGTTTAATGTTTTAGCGCAAATACTTTCATAATGGCTATAACAAAGATAAACCTTTGTGCCCGCCGTATCTGCATTTGAACACGAACAATAGTGTCGTGTCTAGAACGAGCAATTTTGTAAACAGGAGCTAAGCAAACCAGACATTGGGCTCGCTGCCATCGCAGCGGTAAGTCCCCTCTTTGAGGAGTGGCTTGAGAGACGCTACGGCGTCCTCACCTACCGCCTGACGCAGGTCCTCACCGGACATGGAAGTTTCGGGAGGTACCTGTGTCTGATGGGGCGGGAGGAAACGCCCGGGTGTCATCACTGCGAGGACCGCCCTGAGGACACGGTGGAACACACGGTGGGAGAATGCCCT